GTTTAATACCGCAATGACTATGTGAAGTTACAAATGCACTACTCGTATTTGTTTGTTTTTATAAGAATGCAACTTCATTTCAATTAAGAGAGTGGTGCAAACCTTGTGTTTCTATGGATTTAACTTGTGGCAGGAAAAAGAATATCGTGATGCATTGGAAGCCTTCAATGAGAAGAACAGGGAAAAGGGCCAGCTAATTGCCAAACTAGTTGAGGTAAACACAAAAGATTTCTTGTCGAATTCAAAAAGCAGTGAATGAGTTTTGGCATTTTCACTTATTTATGTCGAATTGATCTTCAGTTGGTAAGTGAAAGTGAGAAACTGAGACTGAAGAAACTGGAAGAGCTCAGCAAGAATATTGATTCTCTGAGCTAAGGAAATTTACTTGTACTGTTTTTCGGTTTTGTGGCCTTTTTTTGGAGTTGTTGTTGTTGAAGTTGTTGTTTGATCTATTCCTCGACTCAAGATTGATGAGACATAATGGGAGAGCTTATGATGTTTTTCCTAAAGATTTTAAGTTTTGCCTTTTTAAATTTTCTTTTTTCCCCTTGTACTGTTAATATGGTTACTGTATAAAGAACAATAGCACATGAGAGTTGAGAGAGATATGCAATTTCCTTGTACCTTTTTCTTTTAATCTTTTGAAAATGGTAACATGAAAATACAGAGGTGGATTCTTACCATTATATTTGATTTTAGAAATGACAACTTAGTACGAATCCCGTGTTCTACACGGGTGCATGAAAAAATAATTTGAAAAAAAAAAAATAAAAGAGTTTAGTTATTGTAAGTATACACAATAAATAAATAGAAGTTTTTAAAAAAAATTGAAGAAAAACTAATGTAAATCGGTATTTTATTTCAAATTCTCAAAAGTTTCTTAGTGCACAACATTATTACTTCTAGTTATTATTTTTTTCATCCTTGTTGCAACACAAAATTTTCATGCATTGTCTGTTCTTAATTAACTCTAGATATGGCAACATAAAACTGCCAATGACTAAAAATAAGTTTTGGTAGATACAGACCAACATCAAACTATGTTTGTCCACGACTCTTAATAATAGTCATCGCAATTCATACCATAACAGAGAAATGTTCTAAATGAATAGCTTGAAAGAAAAAAAAGTTTGTAATAGAATTCTTTTTTCTTTAACAGAACGATAGAGATTAGATAAACTCACAACGAAAACATAGTTTCAATACAATGAGCCACACCCGAATATAAAAATGAGAAGACACGCCAAAGCGGCCTAGAACTCGACAAACAAAACTAACTCAAGCACCAAACCTCCACTGCCATAAGGCTTAGAGATGAAGACTATCAACCAAACCAACAGAAAAGTAAAACAAAGAAAACAGAACACAACCAAACTGCTTCAGAAGAAGCCTAACTACAGACCAAAATCAAAAGGATCAAAACAAAACCAGAAGCCGCAACTAGGACTGGGAGTAGTCCAACCAATCCTGATGAGCCAGTTTGATCATTATGTGAGTAGATGTCTTTTGAAAAATCCAGAGATTACGGCATTTCCATAACCACCAAAGCAAGTAGATAGTGAGCTGGATGCGTGCTTCAGCTAAATCAAAGGAACCAGTGAAACTGATGTGGCTCCATCAGCTTTTAAATGAACCTTCAGCTTTGAGTTCTACCCAACTGACTGGTGATAAATCCCAAACCTGAGTTACTTTGGGGCAGTGGAAAAGAATATGTTCAATTGTTTCAACGCAATCACCACAACCTTGGCAAATAATGTCCATTTCCATACCCCTTTTGCTCAAGTTAGATTTTACAGATAATGTACCATTAACACATTTCCAAATAAACTGTTTGAGCTTACCAGGGATTTTGAGTTTCCGAAATCTGAAGAGAGCAAGTTTGTTTTTGTGGGTGCTGCTACAGGATGTCCAAGTTAGTGAGTTTCAGTTTGGTAAAAAAAGAGTAAGTGCTCGCTACAAAAAACACACCCTTCTTAATAAATTTCAAGTATTTCCTGTCTGAGCAGCCTGGCTTGAGAGTGGAGATATTGAAAATGGCATTGCTATCAGAATCATTGAAGAGCTTAAGATCAACCACTCATTCCAACCTGAGCTTGTATCATTAAGAAGTTCCTTTACCCAGGTGATGTGACCTCGGGCAATTTCTAGTAAATAAGGTTGTTGTAGCAAATTATTTTTATTTTTACCGAGAACCGAATCAAAAGATTCGTTCCGCGGGTCGATCTCTCAAGGAAGACGGTTCGGAATTTAGCATTGGTATTGATCACAAACGAAATGAAAATAAATCTTAAACATTCTAATCACGATTGATTTGGAGATTTAACTAAAACAAGCCAAAACTAGAAAAGCAATTTAAATAAATAAAAATTAAATCTCTAG